TCAGGACGGGTGCCTCGTTCTCCTTGGGGGTCTCGTTCCGGCAGCGAGAGTCTGGGAGGAATCAGAAACGCTGGAATTGGGGCCTTGGCTTCCAGCCCCCCCGCTCTAACCACTAGACCCCACTCCCCTTCCGGTGCCAGGAGAGAACCCAGGAGTCCTGGCTCTCCCGGGATGGGGGGGGCTGTTACTCACAGAGGAAATAGACCGTGACTCCGACCAGCGCTGCCCCCGCTAGTGACCCGATGACGATCCCGGCGACGGCCCCGGCAGAGAGAACTGGACGAGGGGCGTCTGGAGGAGAGATGTGGGGGGGGGTTGGATCAGACGTTCAGCCACAATCCCCCCACCCGGCTCCCTGCAGCCCAGCACCGCCTAGCACCGCACTGGGGCGTTGGTGCCAGACCTGGGATCCCTGTGTCTGCAGCGTGTTGCTCCATCCCGGAGACTCACCCGTCCCTGTCACCCGCACGGCGACAGACGCCCAGGCAGTGCGGCCGGTGACGGGGTTGTGAGTCCAGCACTCGTACGTGCCCTGCTGAGCCCAGGTTGTGGGGTTAAAGGTCAAGCTGCTCCCGGTCTCTTTACTGTCGGTGCCGTTGAGAACCCAGCGATAGCTGGGGGCTGGGACGGAGTCGGCGATGCAAGTCAGGTTCAGAAGCAACCCGAGAGTCAGGGCGATGGGTCCTGGTGGGTCTATCTGGGCAGAGTTCGGCCCATCTACAGAGAGAGGGACAGGGTCAGGGGATGAATGGTGCCAGCTAGGGGTCCCTGTTTAACCTGAATCCTGCCCCACCCCAGAGGCAGCTGCATCTCTGTGGCTGGGTGATGCCGGCAGGGCCAGGGGCAGCGCGGCCGGGAGACGGGGCTGCAGTTACTCACAGGCTACCATCACGGTGCTGGGCTCGCTGCGGTTGGTGCTGACGGGGTTCCTGACCTCGCACTGGTAGGCGGCGTCGTCGCCCCGGGTGACATTTGGCACCGTGAGGGTCCGGTTGTCAGGGGACAGCCCCAGCCGCTCACTGGGCACGAGGGATGCCCCGTCCCGGAGCCAGAGCACGGTGTTGGCACTGGGGGAGCTGTTACACGTGAGGGTGAAGGTCCCGTTCTCCAGCACCAGGGTTTGGTTTGGCGTCACCGTGGGCTTGGGCAGGATTTCTGTGCAGGGAACAGAGAGAGCGTTACCGTGTGTCCCTGCTCCTCCATGCAGGATTGGGGCTGCTGTCCTGCAGGACTGGGGCAAGGGTGGTGGTGTTGCCACCATGTGAGGTTGTGGGAAGGGTCCTTTGCCCCTCAGAGCTGCGGAGGCGGGCGGTCGTCTTCTGGACTCTGCAGAGGGTCCCTCTCCCCGGCGTCAAGTCTCACAGTTATAGGTTCCTCCCTGAGGCTCTGGCTCCCGGAGCCCCGTGATTTTTGGGAGACTCTCGGCTGTGGTTCAAAGGGAGAGCGACGCTCCGGCTCCCAGGTCTGTCCCAGGATCCAGCCTGACAACAGGGTTTTCAATGCTTGGTGTCACCGGACGCCCCGTGGGCACAGCCCTGTGCCGGTTCCTTGCCGTCCCCTCCGACCTGGACGGAGCTGCCCATCCCAGACCCAAGCTGGGGGTGGGGGTGACCTCGCTGGTGCATCATGGGCAGTCAGCCAGAGTGTGACGAAGTGGGACTATTCTTAATGTTTCCTCTGAATACTGTGTGGGTGCCTCAGTTTCCCTTATGCATTTCTGGAGTTTCTAGGGGGTGTGATAGTTGCAGAGTCTGAGAGGGCCAGTGCACATAAATCACTCACATTCTTTCTCCTGGCAACTGATGGCCTGGGCTCTTCCCCCCTGCACGGGGATGCTAAAGGTGAACAAGAGATCAGGTGACCTCCTGGCCCGGGAAAGGAACAAAGCCCAGAGGAGGAGGGGCTGGAGGGTTTCAGTTTGGAGCTGGCTGGGGAGGGGGAGTGAGGGCAGACGTGGGTGTCTGGTTCACGACCCCCCAGAATGGACCCGGCTGAGGGGTCCCGTTCGCTGTACCTACAAGCTCTGTTTTAGACCGTGTTCCTGTCGTCTAATAAACCTCTGTGTTACTGGCTGGCTGAGAGTCACTTCTGACTGTGAAGTGGGGGGTGCAGGACCCTCTGGCTGCCCCAGGACTCCGCCTGGGCGGACTCGCTGTGGGAAGCGCACAGAGGGGCAGATGCTGAATGCTCCAAGGTCAGACCCAGGAGGTGAAGCCGTGTGAGCTCCTTGCCCTGAAGACAGTCTGCTCCGAGGGAGAGGAGGCTCCCCAGAGTCCTGCCTGGCTTTGTGGGGAGCAGTTCCAGAGCATCGCCCGGGGACTCCAGGACATCCAGTTTCACCTTCAGCGACTGGTGAGTGTGACCACAACAGCGCCCGGCTCCCCCGCCGCTGCAGACAGGGGGGGGGGGGACTGGATCTGGGGAGCCCAGGTGCAAAGGGCCCTAAAGTAACATCATGAGCCCCCCCTCCCCCGTAGGCGCCAAAACGGAGCAAAGTGGGTGTAAAAGAGCAGGTGGGTCTGACCCCTCCCCCACATGATACAAGGGTCTTCCCAGCATGCACCAGGGGCCACTGGGGGGGGGGGGGGGGGTCTCGATCTCCGCAGCTGATCGTACACACCCCACTGTGCAGCCTG